TTGCTGACCAATACAGTTTGTATCATAAAAATAAAAATGCATACAAATAAATTACGTATTACGTATAGGTTTAACTCACACGTAATTTATAAATAGACAACAAACATAACGGAATAGAGCGCATGCGTTCTTTACAATTTAATATCCAAATTAAATAATTAAGTACATGCATAAAATATAATAAGATATTCACGAATCATACTAAATGTCCGATTCCACCTCAGTTTATCACACTATTTTTTTGTCTAAATGGGATTTAGCCTTTTGTGAATGAATATGGATGTCTGAACCATATAATTTTTTTAAAATAATGCATTACTTTAGAGGCGATATATAACTGCACCAAATATTTTTCACAATTTTAAAAATTATTAAATACATGGCATTTTGAAAAGTTTTGTAAAAATTTTGTAAGATATGTAACTTTGGTTTATTTAATTAACTGATTTTATAAATTTTCGAAAAAGGAAGTTTTTCGTTTTAACTTTTAAGAATATTATTGTTAATTACCCGAAAATTTAAATTGTTTTTTTTTAATATCATCGAGTACTTTTAGAAAATAATGTTATACTGAAGAGGACTCAAGCAAGTGTCAATACCTTTAAAGAAAGAAATATAAATAAATTCAAATTTATTTAAGAATCCGAAAACCGCTATTCATTTAATATTTACAATTATATTTACAAACTAAGTTTCTATCAGATAAAACTGATTAGAATAAGCCGAATTCGATCATGTCAACCGTTTTTCAAAATTATGTCAAACTTTAAAAATTTTCGTCATGTTTTATATTTTTTAGTCTATTCCAAAAAAGAAAGAACACATAATCAATATAGTATATTACGTGGCTAGGGGAGAAACACACTTTTTTCCGACGAGGGTGACGTGTGCGTCTCTCCGAGGTACGCACTATATGCAGAGCTGTAGAAAATTCAGTTTTCGTCAGGGACGTTATGAAAATAGATTTACTTGAATCTTGTTACTCAAGGTTTTTTTTACTCTGATTATTACGAATTTGAAGATAGTTTTTCAAAATTCAAAATGGCGGATCTGATATGGCGGACAAATTATTAAATTTCTCCGGATTCACTTGAAGCTTGTTTTTTTTTAGACTCCCAAGTAATCTATTCGATTAAAAAACCTGCGTGTTTTTTGGAATAGACTAAAAATATATAATATAAAGTGACGAAGATTTTAAAAATTTGATATGACTTTGAAAAACGTCTAAAGCCGTTGAATTCAGCGAAAATTTGACCGGGTCCTGGTCGGGCCAAGACCAGGCACGACCGGGATCAGATCTGGCAACCTGATCTGGGCCCGATCGAAATGAAACAGTGAAACCGACCGGGGCCATGCCAATTTGCCCGATCTGGAATCCTGGTCTGGTCCCGACCAGGGCCATGGTAATTTTCCCGATCTTATTGTAATTGTAATTTTCGATAAATTATAATTATTTATCTCTAATTAATGAATAAAACAATACAATTAATCAATATTATTTTATTTTATGAATCTGCATTTAAAAAAACATCTCATAAAATGAAAATGAAATAAAAGTTGAAAAAAATTATTTGAATAATTGTTTCGTTTAAAAAATGTCATAAAACGCTATAAATGTATTTTCACTAGTTTTTTAAAAATTTTAAATATGGCAACCAGGCCTGGCCCTGGTTGGGCCCATAGAAATTTACTAACCCGGGGCCAGAACAGGAAATCGGGATGAAAAGTGACAATTTCTGCACGGGTAAATATGATGTTATATAATATTTTGCATACTTAATTATATAGGTAACTGATTACGTTTTATTTATTTATTTTTTTGAAAAACCGTTGATGATCTCAAGATCAGATTTGCTCCAACATTTAATAAAATTTTAAAAAAAATTAAAGACGACGTTTTTTTATAGATGTTTTTTTAATTTTTGAAATTTTCAAAAAAAATTTTTTTCTTTTATTCTTGAATATTAATTTTCATCAAAAGTATACTTAAAAAAATATCCTACTTTTTGAAAAGCTAAAATCGGTTAATTAGAATCAACGTTACATATAATTTTCCAAGAAAAGTAGAAAAATTTTGAAAATGCTTTATATTTTTTAATTTTTAGAATCTTAAAAATTTTTGGTGGAGATGAAGGAATGAATGGAAAAAAGTACAGCTTGTATTTCCATTCAATAAAGAAAATTAGTGTGATGAACTGAGGTGGAATCCATTAAATATTACATTTACGAGTATCTCTGGTGAAAACGTTTTCTGCGAATGTTGAGTTTCAAAACTCAATAAAGAAAATGTTGCATTGTGTTTTATGGATTTGTGTATTAACTATACTGTTACTACGGCGGTCCAGTACGACGGTTCGGTTTCACCAATTGCACTCATTTTGTAAAAGTTGTTCTTATTCTGGGAATCAAAATTTATATTTGTGGGCCTAGAGTATACTTTTTCAGTTGATGTTTATTTACTGTTTAGAATTAGGTTGTCGATATTCTAGATAAAAACAAAGTCTTCTCTTCCAATATTGGAGTTATGAAATTTTCTTTACTTTAAATCAAACTATATAAAGTATAGAAGTTAAAGTATAGTAGTTATATTTCGACTGGTAGGTTTAGAGCTGAAGGTTGTAGCGATTTTTCGAGGGTGAAATCGCATTCTTTCCTCTTGAATGAAAATCCGACTGGAGTATTTTACGCGACAGGCTCAGACGCGAATAAACAGTATATCAGGATTATTCAAACTCATTTGCCTGCTCGCATCGTGCCCATTTACGCGGTCCGCGAAAGAAGGAAGACTCCTCTTCGGCAAGCAAAAGCTATTCTAAAGTCGGAGACGGAATAAGGTACCTGTAGAATTTTTCCTGGAGGAGGAGCGGACGGGAGAGATTTATAGCTGTTAGGAGACAGGGTGTAATCATACGCATCACCCCATCAACCCCGTAACTCTGATTTACCGTGGGAATTTTAAAAGTCTTTTCGAATTCACTGTGTTGTTAGGGGAATTCCTTATGTCCTCCTCAGTGCCACATTTACTCCCTTTTCGCGTTCCTCGTCCTTATTCACAATGTCTGACAATTCACATTCTCGAAAACACAAGTTTCGAATGATAATAAGACATTGAAAAGTCCTTTTTAGAAAAGTGAATGCTTTTTTAATTTCTCTGTTTTGGGTTAGTAATATATCATTGAGCTGAAATGACTCTAATTTGAAGTGATAGGGTCGACAAACCATTACCATTAGTATAATTACGGTGATCTGAGGTCCTCTATTATTTCCGGATCGCGGGTGTTTGCCTTTTGAAAGCCCTCGCCACAAATTGCAGGCTGGAACACCCGTTTCGAAGGCTTGATCGCTTCGAGGTGCAATCATCACAACATAAGTGACGAGTCAAAACCACTCGCGTATAAATCGTTCCAGATTTTGGAAAGCGAGAAATTCCGGGCCGTGTATCATGTCGTTATGAGCAAAATTTATCGCGCTAGAGCCAGGTTTGATCTACGACAACTCGATGATTTTAGGTTACATTTATGAATAGGTCCTTTAATTAAATAATTCTCATTTATTTTGATCCAAATCATTTTTTATTTTGAAATTACATTTAGTTTTAAAATTTAAGGCTTAAAAGTGATGAATTGAATTTTTCAAGAATACATGATAAATATTTAAACTCATTCAATTAGTATCATTCCCTGGGAATTCAACATTTTTTGAAGAGTTAAAAACATCTCTCTAAATCTGCAATTGTTAAAAATAACTAATTTGATTGTAAAAAGTCTAACTAATTTGATTTCTACTAATCAATTTGTCAATAGTAATTCATTATCAGTTAAATTCGATTATAAGTTTTGGTTCGGTCAAAATAACTAAAGTTGACCAATTGACTAATTTTTAAATTATCCTCTAACTAAAATTTAGTGAAAATCGCCAATCAAAGTTAGCCAATATTTTTACTAATTCGAATTTCAGTGTTGATCGACATTAAAATTTTTAAAACAACTTTAACAGTGTCTTTTGATATTTTGAAAGAGGTTTAGAGAGAGAGAGAGAGAGAGAGAGAGAGAGTCTTGCTATCCAGGATACATCCCTTTTACTCTTGGCTACACTCCCCCATAGCAGCTCGTGTGAAATTACTTTTCGGCAGCTTACTCTTACTCGGTATGCCGTGTATCCTCATTCGGTTGGAATCTTCTTGGAAATAAAGTAGGTACCTTTCTTATTTTCGTATCCGGAAAATTGCTATACCACGCTCCCGGCTGAATGAGGAGTCACACTCTGATCTTTATCACTTTATTGTCTTTCTCATAAATAAAAGTAGATAACTTTCTTAAAGAAAAAATTTCAAATTTCTGAGGTAAAAATTGTTTGTAGTGGAAAAATAACATAAAAGAAAGTTGGATATTGCAAAAAGTGTTTCCGTTGCGTTAATGATTACATTTTCTCGAATTTATTTTGCAGTACTAAAGGAACGACAAGTTTGTTTTCCCGTAAAAGCGAAGTAGGTAACACGTATGTTACCGCATCATAACTTGGTTATGGATTTTTAAGCACGGTCGAGTTGGTCCTACTCGTATGTACGTTCATGGGATTTTGATTTACTAGCTCGCGCCTTTACGATCGTTCCACATCCCCGTGGTCGCATTGGCCTGTTGCTGGTGCAAATACTGATGCGCTTAAGTCCGCACAAGTACTCGGCCTCCCACTCAGGAAAAATTGGAAAACTTTTCCGTTTCAAACATTCATCAGAGAAAACACCACCCATAATTCTTCCCATGAAATTGTATCATAAAAAGGTTCTTTCGCTTAACTAAAAGGCACTTTGGCATCTTTTTGTAAAATATCTTTATTTACATTAAAACTGTTGTACAGTGCAATGAATATAACATCAAACACTGAAGTTGCTTAAAGCTTAATTTCATGCTGCAATTAAAGTCTCAAGCCACGACTTTGAAATATCTCAAAAAACCGTACACTCCAATAATGCTAATATTGTTTTATTTTATGTTTTACAGGGAAATGGTGTCCACGTAGAGAATGGAGTTCGCCACCGGACGCGCAAAGAGCAGCAAGCGACGCTGCTCGTCGGGGAGTTCTTTATTCTTCCGTATTCCTCGGCAGTCCTGGTAAGTTGTTTTTTTTTCAAGTAATCAAAGCAATTTTAATTCATTTTCAAATAGCAGTTTGACCGTCCCGAAGAGAGAGGCAACGGCTTTTAAAAAAGCCATTAAAGCATCGCGAGTATATGAATTTTAGTGTTAAAAATAAAAATACACGGATCACATTCATGCTTGCTTTGGTGTTAGTAAGTGAGAAGAGTTAGTAGCACTCATATTTACGTGGTGGGTGGAGCAACTCGTTTATGGCATGAACAAGTTTTAATCACATCCCGGTATTCGCCGTGATGAATAAATATTGATATCGAGTGATGCGTTGACCAATCATAGTCAAGATTTCAGGATGCTCTTATCATGACGTTGATTTCTGCAATTCTGATTGTAGTTCTATTTGCCTATTTTATCCCATCTTCTGCGATGGAAATGTCTTTATTGGTAATATTTTATTAAACTTTTCCTCTTGATTGGAATGTATTAGAAGAAATGTTGGCTTGAACTTTTGTCATGTATATCTATATATAATACATATCAATCTGAACCAATGGTAATAAACCGCATTGAGAGCACCGCTTTTATATGCGGCTTTCACTGTGTCTAACGTAGGCTCTTTTAATCTAATCTTCATAAATTTAACGTATACTCTGAATATGAAGAGGAAGGAATTTTATTACCACTTTCTAAATTTGAATTAGTCGAATTTTGACTAATTTAATTCAACTCACGCAGGAGAACAAAGTTTCACTTTAACTCAGAAATTTTTTTTAAAACAACATGCAACAAATTTTACTCAAGTTGAGGCTGTCTATGCAACAAAAATTATACCAGCTTTTTTCTCCGATAGTAGTTGAGTACTTTGTGACTAATTGTTTAACTAAACCTATTATAATGAATCTCTACTTTTTAATATACAACAATAATATTTTAATCTTATAAATAAATAATAAATTATATAACTTTTACAGCAATTTCATTGAAATTTATTTAAAAATTAGAATTATTCAAGATTATAAAGTAAAAGTTGAAAATATCTGCCTTAAAATTCACTTTCAATCAGAAAAATTATTTATAAATTTTAAATAATCATTATGAATAGTGACTATTAATAAAATGTGACATAAATAATACTTTACGTATATATATATATATAAATTTTGTGTAATTCAAGATCAGCACTACTAATTTTTTAGTTACTATATAAATTCACTCTTTATGTATACACCCAGAGAAATGTTTTATTTGAACCAAATATATAATATGTTTGAGTTAAATAAACGAATATTTGTCTCACAGCCTATACTAGTCTATTTATTTGGGGTAAAGAAAAGTTGTTATTTAAATCAAATGAAAATTTATTTAAATCAAATAAAAATTTACTTGAATCAAATAAAAATTTACCTGAATCAAATAAATATTTATTAGGCTGTGAGAAATATATATCATTTTTCTGGGTGTATGTATTCATTTAACTTGAGTAAACCTTTGATGTCTGTGAAACTGAAAATAAAAAACACCAATTTGTAAAGTATGATATTATTTTTTAAAATGAAAAATGAATGTCCTCCGTGATGGAATTTTATTGCGACTTAAAGTTAGAAATATTGAATTTGAAATTCTTGACTAATCCAAAGTTAACGAATCCACTCCTTTTCAATTAGTTAATATCTACCAAATCCTAAGTAGAGTATATACATAAATAAATAAAATTCAACATTTGATTGTGAATGGTGATTTTTGTTTAGTTCCTGTATTAGTTACTTTTGCTTTCTCTAATTCAACATTACACTTTAACGTGACAATGAAGCCATCTTTTTAATGAAGCAAAAGCTGAAGTGGCAAAAGGACACGCATTGTTTAGTTGGAGAAGAAAAGTAAAGGAGGTAATGTTTTCGCGCGTGCGTTAAAAATTGCATTCAGTATCCTTTTCTGTCGCGCTGTGTACCTCCAGAAACACTCTTTGCTCGCATGAGGGAAGGACTAGGTGGACTATAGCGGAGAGGTTAGCGCACAAGAGTGAACGCTGCGAGAGGTCTCCATGGCAACGAGGCGAGGCGGGAATGCGACGGTAACCATGGCAGCCGCGGATTTCTCTCAGGCCAACCTGTCTGTCCTCTTTTGGTCCCTCGTCCTCCTCATCTATACCTCTTCCTTCCGCCCACGGACTACTCTCGGGCACGTAGCAACTTTACTCCCTTCACTGTTGGAGGTGGTGAATAAGAAGGTGGAGAGGAGGAGCGGTGCACTGCGAATGGAGAAAGAAAGATCCTCGATGGTGTCCAAGTCTCGACGCCTCGCTCGATGTCAGGACAGATCGCCATCTACCATAATCTTCGTGTGCTTTACACTTACAGACTTTTCATATCGAACTTTAATATACTTCTATTTTAAATTAAAGAAATCGCTCTTAATTTACTGTTTAATCTCAACATACAAATTCTGACAACACAACACTGGTAATTGAACTGGTGAATATATGTTAAATTGATACGATTCTATACCAAGAGGGACATCCAATAGTACTGGCATTCTTCTAGTCAATATTAATTGTTTATTAATTAATTATATTAATGTTCGTGTGCGTAGACGTGTCAAATGTTTCGCAGTTAAGGTTCAGAATGCAACCGCAAACAAGTTTGCAGCAATTTGGAGACCCTGATGATCTCATTACCTGGCAACAACAAATCCTCTTGCATAGTTTGCTTAAAAAGTATCCTGGAATGGGAATTCCTCTTGGTTTGGTTTTTCAAGGCTCGCATGTCATCCCTTTCCAACTCCACCTACCATTTACCACTACTCTCTTCACATCTCGACCAGACACCGAAGGCTCCCTTTTCGTAATGTAAGGGTTGTGTTTGGCGTTAGGGGTGAGAGAGTTTAAAACCCCTGGGGGCTTGAGGTTCGGGCCGGTTAGATTTATCGGATGTTTTGGTTGGCAGCCATTGTTATCCTCGGTTCTCTTTATTCTTCTCTCCAATCACTCATTCGGCTAGCGTAGAGAAATACCGCCGCAGAAAAAGTACTAAAAGCAGTCAATAGGCATAAATAGCACCAAAAAAGGAAGGAAAATAGAATGAATCAATTATTTCGCTTGTTAATGAATCTTGGATAGTCATAAAGTTGACATAAACCACAGCTGCCAATCAGGTTCACATGGCTTATTTATGTTCATATTGTTATTAATCTTAAAGATCGTTGTTACATGTGGTCTCCTATTGAATGGACCTTTAATAAAAAGCAGAAGCGTGCATCTTTGGACATTTATTCGAGATAAGCTTCAGCGTAGCTCAGTAGTAAACAACCTGGAGGTTTCACGTCCATGTTCCGTGTCCATTGTTGACCGAGTCTCATATATATTCGCTCCACTTCCACGATCTGGCTTCTGGCTAACATGGATTTCTTTTTTCTCCTTGTTTCTTTAACATTGTGCAGAGTTTGAGCGATGCTCAGACTCGCGCCTTGCCGATTCTCTTTTCAAGAATAGCAAAATATGGTGATGTAGTCAAGTTGAAAGAACAAGAAAGTTTTAGAAGATTTGTTTTTCTTGACTTCCTTTCCAGTAACTTATGTGACTCCTGCAGTGACTATAGTTGTCTCAGCAGTGGAAGTAATAAATCAAATAATTAGTACCCAAAAATACGATTATCGGTCCATCTAGGGGGTTTCGGCGATCTTAAATTACTAATTCAATCTCATGGTATTGTAAAAATTTCAAGAGACATCTGCTGAACGTGTGAGTTGAATTAACATACACAGATCCTACTGAATAAAAGTATTTGTTCTTTATCGATATTATGTCAGAGATCAAGCCGACTTTTGTTATATGTAAGCAGCCTTTTTGCAAACACTGACATGGAATCCAGTGTATTCTCGTCGGTGTTTGCGTTTCACTGGGACGAACAAAGGATAGAAAATTCCTCTTCTCTCAGTGAACACACCGCGCTTTCCGCCTCGACAAGAACCAATTACACGCCCGGCCTTTTTCAAAAGCCATTTCCTCGCGCGCACGCGTGATTCCAAGACTGTTTGTAGGTTGTGTGCGTGAAGCAATTCCCATATGGTATACACGTGAGAATCTCTCAGTCCTGTGCGTGCGTCCAGTTCCTGACCGCTGAAACAGAGAATCGGAGATAGACAGTATAGACTGAAAGAGAGATGAAGAAGAACGAGAAACGAGAGAACTTGGAGAGGAGATGAGGCTACAGGCTGCAGTGATGGATCGTCCAATCAGTGCCGCAAGATGGAACACGAGGTGAGAGAGAACGCGTGCGTCTACCTATAGGTTAGCACAGGACATCCAAAGAGAGGAGTGAAGAGAAGAGGTCATGGTCGGGGCGCTCTTCGACTAATCGAAGAACATGAGGTGGTCTGCCGTTGCTGCATCGGCTTAGAACCAAACTTCTCTCTCCAATTGGTCGATTATACTTTCATTTTTTCAAATTCTTTTTTCTAACAGGAGGACTTTTTGATTTGAAATTCTCTCGCCAATACATACGAAAGACAGCAAAAATTAAATCGATGAAGATTGTCTGGTTTCCATTGTGATTATTGACAATTATTTTCAGTTGAAATTCGAAAGTTGAAGAGTCTTTCAAACAACTTTTCTGAATCTGTGCCTGATAGACGGTGTACGAAATAAAGCAGTGCGACATGGTCCGTGGGTATTCATTAGTTCCTTATTCAAAGCTGGGGGAATAGTTCCGGAGTTATGCCGAGCCACAAAGCACAAAGCTCCATCGTGGAACAATGAAAGCCGCAGATTTCATGAAGCTTGTGGAGATGGGTACAATGCTTTAACCAATGTGTGTACTACTGAACGCGCACGCGAACGAATCCACTTCTCTCTCTCTCTCTCTCCCTTTAAGTTTATTTCACTCTTACCTCTCACCCCCGACTCTTGTGTAATATTCATACGTGTTGAATATATTAATGCGAGGAGAGATATGTAAAGCATGTATGAGGGAGTTTAAATCCCCTCTTTCCCGTCTGTTCTCTACCCTGCGCAATGCAGCAAT